TAGAGAGTAAGTGTTATTGAAACAATTCAACCAGTTAGAGAGTCAAGTGTTATTGGAACAATTTCAACCAGTCTAGAGAGTCAAGTGTTATACGAACAATTTCAACCAGTCTAGAGAGTCAAGTGTTATTGGAACAATTTCAACCAGCCTAGAGCGTCACATGTTATTGGAACAATTTCAACCAGCCTAGAGAGTCACATGTTATTGGAACAATTTCAACCAGTCTAGAGAGTCAAGTGTTATCGGAACAATTTCAACCAGCCTAGAGAGTCAAGTGTTATAGGAACAATTTCAACCAGTCTAGAGAGTCAAGTGTTATAGGAACAATTTCAACCAGTCTAGTGAGTCAAGTGTTATTGGAACAATTTCAACCAGCTAGAGAGTTAAGTGTTATTGAAACAATTTCAACCAGTCTAGAGAGTCAAGTATTATTCGAACAATTTCAACAAGTCTAGAGAGTCAAGTGTTATAGGAACAATTTCAACCAGTCTAGTGAGTCAAGTGTTATTGGAACAATTTCAACAAGTCTAGAGAGTTAAGTGTTATTGAAACAATTTCAACCAGTCTAGAGAGTCAAGTGTTATAGGAACAATTTCAACCAGCCTAGAGAATCAAGTGCTATAGAAACAATTTCAACCAGTCTAGAGAGTCAAGTGTTATAGGAACAATTTCAACCAGCCTAGAGAGTCACATGTTATTGGAACAATTTCAACGAGTCTAGAGAGTCACATGTTATTGGAACAATTTCAACCAGTCTAGAGAGTTGCATGTTATTGGAACAATTTCAACCAGTCTAGAGAGTCAAGTGTTATTGGAACAATTTCAACCAGTCTAGAGAGTCAAGTGTATAGAAACAAGTTCAACGAGTCTAGAGAGTCAAGTGTTATAGGAACAATTTCAACCAGCCTAGAGAGTCAAGTGTTATTGGAACAATTTCAACCAGTCTAGAGAGTCAAGTGTTATTGGAACAATTTCAACCAGTCTAGAGAGTCAAGTGTATAGAAACAAGTTCAACGAGTCTAGAGAGTCAAGTGTTATAGGAACAATTTCAACCAGCCTAGAGAGTCACATGTTATTGGAACAATTTCAACGAGTCTAGAGAGTCACATGTTATTGGAACAATTTCAACCAGTCTAGAGAGTCACATGTTATTGGAACAATTTCAACCAGTCTAGAGAGTCAAGTGTATAGAAACAAGTTCAACGAGTCTAGAGAGTCAAGTGTTATAGGAACAATTTCAACCAGCCTAGAGAGTCACATGTTATTGGAACAATTTCAACGAGTCTAGAGAGTCACATGTTATTGGAACAATTTCAACCAGTCTAGAGAGTCACATGTTATTGGAACAATTTCAACCAGTCTAGAGAGTCGCATGTTATTGGAACAATTTCAACCAGTCTAGAGAGTCAAGTGTTATTGGAACAATTTCAACCAGTCTAGAGAGTCAAGTGTTATAGGAACAATTTCAACCAGTCTAGTGAGTCAAGTGTTATACAAACAATTTCAACGAGTCTAGAGAGTCAAGTGTTATAGGAACAATTTCAACGAGTCTAGAAAGTCAAGTGTTATAGGAACAATTTCAACCAGTCTAGAGAGCCACATGTTATAGGAACAATTTCAACCAGTCTAGAGAGTCAAGTGTTATAGGAACAATTTCAACCAGTCTAGAGAGTCAAGTGTTATACAAACAATTTCAACCAGTCTAGAGAGTCAAGTGTTATAGGAACAATTTCAACCAGTCTAGAGTCAAGTGTTATACGAACAATTTCAACCAGTCTAGAGAGTCAAGTGTTATAGGAACAATTTCAACCAGTCTAGAGAGTCAAGTGTTATAGGAACAATTTCAACCAGTCTAGAGAGTCAAGTGTTATAACAACTATTTCAACCAGTCTAGAGAGTCACATGTTATTGGAACAATTTCAACCAGTATAGAGAGTCAAGTGTTATAGGAACAATTTCAATCAGTCTAGAGAGTCAAGTGTTATTGGAACAATTTCAACCAGCCTAGAGAGTCAAGTGTTATTGGAACAATTTCAACCAGTCTAGAGAGTCAAGTGTTATTGGAACAATTTCAACCAGTCTAGAGTCAAGTGTTATTGGAACAATTTCAACCAGTCTAGAGAGTCAAGTGTTATTGGAACAATTTCAACCAGTCTAGTGAGTCAAGTGTTATAGGAACAATTTCAACCAGTCTAGAGAGTCAAGTGTTATTGGAACAATTTCAACCAGTCTAGAGAGTCAAGTGTTATAGGAACAATTTCAACCAGTCTAGAGAGTCAAGTGTTATAGAAACAATTTCAACCAGTCTAGAGAGTCAAGTGTTATTGAAACAATTTCAACATGTCTAGAGAGTCGTGTGTTATTGGAACAATTTTAACCAGCCTAGAGAGTCAAGTGTTATAAGAACAATTTCAATCAGTCTAGAGAGTCAAGTGTTATTGGAACAATTTCAACCAGCCTAGAGAGTCAAGTGTTATTGGAACAATTTCAACCAGTCTAGAGAGTCAAGTGTTATTGGAACAATTTCAACCAGTCTAGAGAGTCAAGTGTTATTGGAACAATTTCAACCAGTCTAGTGAGTCAAGTGTTATAGGAACAATTTCAACCAGTCTAGAGAGTCAAGTGTTATTGGAACAATTTCAACCAGTCTAGTGAGTCAAGTGTTATAGGAACAATTT